TAGATTTAAGTTAGGAATATCCGAACAGTGACGTTTCATATCACGTGATGCGTCTCATGAAGGATACTTGCTAACAAACAGTAATTTAATTTATTTGTAACAAACAGTTAGATGAGGACAATTTGAAATATCAAATATATATATAAATAAATAAATATCTCATAAAATAAAAACATTATTATTTTTTAATTTTAAAACTATTTATATATATATATATATATATGTGTGTGTGTGTGTGTGTGTGTGTGTGTTTTGTGATAGATGTATATGTGTGCATGTATTGGGGTATTAGAGCCATGTGATTATTATTTGAACTTTTCCCTCCAGGCAAACCTCTCAGACATTTATGGGTGTTTAGAACTTCTCAGCTTCCACCAACCGTGACCTTTGCAGCGGGGTCCCGTCATGTCATGATAGATAATCATCCCCATTCCTTTCTTATTCCATTTATCAAGGATTAAATAAGGACTTCCCAGAAGATAGCTATGTGCAATAGTCTCCCAACAGACAGACTTTCATTCATTACGATCTTTTGTCTTCATGAGGTTAAATGTCATCATTCCTACATAAATAAAACTTCTCTTTGTTTATTTTGATTGAGTGGCTCTTGGGCCTTATATTGGGTTAACATTAGTATAAAAAAAACAAACTATAGAAGTTTACTTGTGGCGTGAAACTAACAATCAGAATTTTGAGTTGATGTCTATTAATATTCTCTTTACAATATAGAACACTCTCTCCCTATAAACATAACAAATTTTGAACAACTTTAAAAAAAAATTATATGCATACATTTACATGTGCCTGGGAGGCTTGAGATAGAAGACAGTTCTGTTTTTATCTACATTAACTTAAACATACTAACCAGTTATTTTGGATGCTGTTACAATGGTTACTAAATGAAAAAACTTTTTCATTTTATGGGTTTAAAAACAAGTGTGTGAATATCTACCAAGTAAACTAAGGACTCAGAACAGACTGTGAAAGGTATTATAAAATTCTTCGGCAGTAAATATATAGATATAGATAGAACAGATTAGGTAGATATAGTATATGAACAGACAGGCAAAACAGATATGAATAAGACAGATAGATAGATAGATATATATATATATATATAGATATATAGATAGATATGAATAGAACAAGACAGACAAGATATAGATGAGGATAGATAGATAACAGATTGAGGTAGATAGACAAATAGATAGATAGATATGAACAGACAGACAAATAGATAGATAGATAAATAGATAGATAGATAGAGAGAGATAGAGAGATAGATAGGTGCACTTCGTCATGGTGTAATGGTTAACAAGCTTGTTTCGATAAATCTTTTACGACTGAATTCTCACTGGTCGCCCCATACATTCGCCCTTGTGCTACCAGATAAATAGATATAAATTGACGGAGATATATTAATAGTTATGAAGAGACACAAATACTTTATGAACAAATTAAGATTGATAGATATAAAAATAATCATATATATATATATATATATATATATATATATATATATATATATATATATATGTATAGATAGATAGATAGAACAGACAGACAAATATAGATAGATATGAACAGACAGACAAATAGATAGATAGATAGATAGATAGATAGATAGATAGATAGATAGATAGATAGATAGATAGATAAGTATATGAACAAAATGAGATATCTAAATAAATATGAACAGGCTCAGATATATAATCATACTCAGTTTTCTAGACAGAAATATACAATTTAACAGATTCTGATATATAAATAGATACGAAGAGACTTAGATAGATAGATAGATAGATAGATAGATAGATAGATAGATATTAATACCCTGAGAGTGCTAGCTAGCTAGATAGGAACTGGCAGATCGATCGATCGATAGATAGATAGATATGAATATAGTGAGAGAGCTAGCAAGCTAACAAGATAGATAGATAGATAGATAGATTCTTGGTGAAATAAACAAAATAAATAAATTATGAAATGCTTCAACGGAAGGAATGCACGAACATATACGCTCGCAGATATGGCACCTTGCCATGGAGCAATGGTTACTATGAGAACATGTGTAAATATTTTCCTCCCAGAACGATAAGTGTTAATGTTCCAATTAATAATGCTATTATCGCAATTTTCAAAGTGAACCTCTCTCATTTTCCTTCCGATTCTGAAGTGATAAAATAGCAGAAGTTCTTCTTCTGAAGAAGAAAACCCTCAAAATTTAACCTTTTGCTATTTCCTTCCGACCGCAGAATGCATGAGCGGCCATTTTTTTTCTCTTTCTGCTTGCAAGCAGCTGCAATAAGAAAGCTTTTGTCTTTTAGTGTCGGTGGATGGTCGGCAAACGGCACGGCTTTAATAGTCAGCTATTTCAGTGTTTTTCTGTGTGTGAAACCCACATGGAACCTAACCAAAAATTGGTATAATGTTTCGTCAATAGTCGTGTGATCCGCTAGTGTTTCTTAACTTCAAAAAGAAGAACGGATGGTATATGTTGCACTTTACATTTTTATTTATTTATTAGAACTTAACTTAGAAACGGGAAAAGTGGCCCGGAGAGGCAGTAATCTGTAAGAAATTTATCAAACTATTACATAACAGACATTTGATATTTGGTTTATTGGCTTACTTTATATATATTCACCACTTATCACCAGGACTGGGCTGTAGCACATCTCCTGGGATGTCACGAATTAAACTCCGTATTTTTCGAGTAAGAAGCCAAATGAGGACAACAGATCAATCTACAATACTTAATTTCTGACCTAACTGAACTCGTCAGGATATTTTCTTTTTCTTTTATTTTATTGAAGAATAGAAATTTAAAAATTTGATAAAAAATCCTGTTTTACATTGCAGTGAGTTTGGTTGTCTTCCATACATGGTTTGATCAGAAAATATCGGAGATGCTATATTAAAACTACAAAATATATTAATTCTTCGTTTAATCTCCTTCGAAGTAGTCTTCTTCTGTGGCCATACTCTTTATCAAGTATCGTTTCTATTCCCAGAACTAATTTTTGGAAACAGTGAGTAGACAACTTGTCACATATTCTTGGATTTTCTCGACGTCTTGAAATCTTGAGGAAAAAAAAGTCGAGATCCGGGGATTATCGTGATTGTCGAAACTTGGAAATGTTCTTGGCTCAAAAGTGCAACCCAAGCGTGGTCACTGATGGAAACTGTGCGGTGGTGAGGCGACCACACTCTACAGACTTCATTTCTAAGCATTGCTATAAACAACGGAAGTGAGCAGAAACGGTATAACTTAGTCTGCATGCGCGGTTTATGCCGAACGACCCCATTTTGTATACTTTAGCTCCGTTACCATAGCAACAGTTCCGATCATTTTTGATCAGACCCCGTATACATCAATGGTAAATAGCATTTTGCTTGGAAATTCAAGATTTTTGAATATGATCTTGCTCAAGATTACACTTAAATGACTAACGAAAGAGAAATCAAGAGTGACGGTGCCATTTGAACGCATATGCACAATTACACTCACACATATACATGTGTGCTTAAGTGTGTGTGTGTTAATGTGTGCATGTGTGTGCATGACTGTGTTAGTTTGCTTTTCCTTGATCTTATAAGGGAGATTCGATACATGCCAGAGACCACATTTTCTTTAAGATCCCTGGAATACGCAGTTAAATGAACGTAATACACGCAGATTTTGTCTTTTTATGTGCCATGTCCTTTCAGGACGTGGGCGATCATACCTCTTTACCATCCTCTATCCCTTGCAGCTCTCCACAAGTTCCTTCCCTCTGCTTCCTCCCCCGGACCACATTATGTCATCCACCTGCTCAAGCTCGCCAGGTATGTGACGCGCTGCTTTCTCTTGTCTCTCTTTCCCTCTATTCGACCCGTGAGTATCAGATTCGCCAGGCCCTTCTTCCTCATTATGCGTCCCAGAAACTTCAGCAGTCTCTTTCTGATGTTAAATATAAGCCTTCGCCTTGTTTGAACCCTTTCCAAGACCTCATCCTTGCTCATACGCTCGCGACAGGTTAGCAACACGCAGATTAAAGTAGAAAAAAAATAGATTTTCTATTTCAAATACCAGTATCCACGAAAAATATCGTTTGAACTAATAAAAATGTCGGATTAAAAATAAACCTCTCAATCATTTAAAAATTATACACACATATAAATATATATACATATATGTATGTATATGCGTATATACGTTTGTGTATATGCGTGTATATGTGTGCATAACGGTTTTCTCTTCCACTGAATATTTAAATATAAACACGAATATACATACGTACATATATATATATATATATATATATATATATATATATATATATATATATATATATATATATATGCGTGTGTTTGTATAATGTGTGTGTTTGTTTTCTCTTTCTTGCCATTATAAGTATATATACGCTCGAGCGTGTATAAGTATATGTGTGGTGCTCACTAAATATGAGTTGCACACAATCTGATTTTTTATTGTTTGTAATTGACAGTCACGATGCAAAATTGATTCCTATGCCCATACTTCCCATATCGCAATCATTATATATATATATAGTAAAGGTAAAAAATCCTTTGGTATATATTCCAAGTGGATCCTAGTAATATAAAATATTAAGACTGATCCACAAAAAGAGCTCAATATATTTATTAATACAGAAGAATATAATTAATAAACAATAAAATCCAAAATTACCTCATATGGGGAATAAACAATTTCGGTAAATGAAGATATCGGTCGTATGTTTTATCAAACCCGGTGTGGAATGAGTTCATGTCTATACAGTTAGGAAAGCCAGGAAATGGAATTTAGCTGTGAAAGATAAAAAAGAAAAAAAAAAAACCGTCGAAAAACTAATACAGAATTTATCAATTTCAATGTTTCAGTCAGACGAAAGGCACGAGACAGGGATCAGGGGACGGTGGAAGGTATTTGTCTTAAAGGGAAGAAGTTTTATAAAATTAAACCCGAATATTAACCTTATGGCATTAATTTGGGGTTATATGAAAAATCAAATTTTAATTTAAAATAAAATCATGTTACGTTTTATCTATCTATCTATCTATCTATCTATCTATCTATCTATCTATTGCATTGTTTTTTCTGTTTCTTTTTCTGTTTCTATCTATCCATCTATCTATAATTTATATTACTGGTTGGTTTGCTGACGATGAGGCTTATCTTCGGCGCTCGAGATAATAGCACGTTTTCGTCTTGTATTAAGAGTCACTGTTCAAATTCAGGTATAAGTGGAGATTTAGTGCGCTGGTTCCAAGTTAGAGTGGCCACCTGTGTTTATAAACTAGTGGTTGTGGACCGCCCTATCTTTTCTTTGAGACAGAATAATTCATGTGGAGCCAATATCTATTCTTTTGTCTATATTGATGTTAAGAAATCAACGTTACATAAAAAAAAACAACGTTACTTAAGTTTAGAAAGACTCAGATTGATTTTGTATAGCTTATTAAACTACACGAAATCTTTCTGACTTTGCTTAAACTTCGTATCATTAATTTTTATTAGTTTTTACTTATGGGAAAGAAGAAAAATGACAAAGAATGTTTATTCTGAATATGAAAGGAAGGATTAATCTGTTATCGTTTAGTTGTACCTTATCACCGTACGAAAAGCGTGACACCGAAATCCGAAGGCGCATTGAGATAGCGAAAGATGCCTTCCAAAAGCTAAGCAAATCATTAAGAAACATAATAATTTCGTTAGAAACAAAGAAAAGCGTACTGAACTGTTATGTAATATCGGTCCTCCTAAATGGCAGTTAATGCTGGACAATCTCACCACGAATGAAGAAGAGACTTGGAGCAATAGAAATGTGGTTATACAGAAGGATGCTGAATATACCATGGACTGACCATCTCACCAAAGACGAATTTTTAGAGAAAAGAGAAATCAAAAGGACAGATAATGGAGAAAGAGGGCTTGGAAATTTTGATACTCACGTGACAGGCTGAAAGCAATAGAGACAGGCGTAAACAAAGGATAACCTCACTAGCGAGCTTGAGTAAATGGATGGCGGAGCAAGGAGTAGGAGTTATAACAAAAAGGGGGAAAATTAATAAGATCTACAAAGGACAGTCATAATATCCAATGTCCTGGAGGGACATGACACAAAGAAGAAGAAGAAGAAGAAGAAGAAGAAGAAGAAGAAGAAGAAGAAGATATTAATTCTATAGTTAAAGTAAGCATCTTAGTTTCGTAAAAAAAAATATGTAGTTCCTGAAGAAAACGCTATGGATCCCTACATCAACAAAGAAGGTTTTGGCGAGTGTCTATTTGCTGCTTGTCTTGATTCTACATGTTAATTCTTGTAGGGTAACTTAATGCCAAAATCAATCTTTTCTACTACTAGAATATTTTTGGCAAATTTCAATTTTTTGTTGAAAACTTCCCAGGATTTAATATTGTTGAAGTTATCGCTAACATTTTTTGTCGAGGTTTACAAATTCTATGTTTCGTTCAACTTCGCAAACGAATCGAAGAAATTTGAATAAGCCGATATCTTTGGAAAAATACTTTGACAAAAAACATTACTCCACGGTTTAATAATTTTTTTAAAAAATTTAATTTTATAGGACATCATCGTAAACACTACTTTCTCCCCTTTCCATTATTAACAGCGAAGAATAAATTCTTAGAATTTCTTATGCTTGAGCATGCAACATGCAACTGGCCATACATAAATATTTCTTCATGGAGCCAAATTCCAACTTTTTGAAGCGTTTGGTCTTGTGATTTCTTTATAGTTCAGGGCGAACTGGAAACTGGATTCTTGTATATATAAAATCTTAAACAAAAAACAATATTGCATTTTTATTAAATAAGTGTTTGTTATTTTAATCATTAATTGTTTTTTTTTAAATAGTGGGAATATTTTGTATGTTAAATAATAAAACTTAATTTTCCCCGAAAAATAATGAAAATTTATTGTACAAAGCTATGCACCTTAGTAAAACCAGCTGTACTTTTTGTTCCCTTACTTGTTTGCACTTCTCTGCAAAATTTGGTTTCGATCGGTCATTGTATGGCTA